AGAGGATGACCATTTTATTGTTATTTTATTTTTTAAGTTTTAAGTCATATTATTTCTCATATGACCTTGAAACTATTTCAGTTTTCTCAAAGAAAGAAAGGAAGTAATTCCTCTGGGTGCTAATAACTTGGAAATAATTTTTCCAGGGAATGAGGAGCATACGGTGTAGAAGCAGGTGAGGCGAATGTCAGGCTAGTCAATGGCCGTGGGAGATAGCAGGAGTGCTCCGAGAGAAGACATGATATGTCAGTGCTTTTTCAAATGATGTCTTCCGTCAAAGCAAAGTATAATTTATCACAGAGCAGGCTCCAGAGATGAAACATGATCCCAGGGACAAGCTCAAGAGATTATAGGCTTCACTAGACACCAGGGAGTTTTTGCTGAGCAATTTTCATGAGCTTCTGGGTCATAGGAAGGTAAGACAAAGGTTGCTAGATGTGTGTGTGTGTGTGTGTGTGTGTGTGTGTGTGTGTGTGACTTCAGATGTGAATGTGTGTCTGTTGTCATCTGTACACTTATACTTATTTCTGAGTGCATTTCTTTGGCTTCAGAACTGCAAGAAATAAACAATTATGCTCCAATGAGGTGAATGACTGAGAGAGGGATACAGAAGGTAATAAACTTCCCCTTCCCCCACTGTTATTTAGTATGCTTATTATTCCCAGTCCACTGGGTAACGTCTTTTCTAAAGGCTGTATTTTTATAGCAGCACATCATTTAAGCAAGTCTGGTATAGAACTGGTCAGTAAATTCCCTCAAATGAATGAGATGAATAAGTTTTGTAATATCTTTAACCCAAAACTCATTTAATAATTTATACAGTTTTTGAGTAAACTAATCTTCAGACTCAGGAGGTAGAACATGAGCTCTCTCCAATCTACTTTGATTATAGAATGCAAATTGTATGTGATTCATCAATTGTCTACCTAAGATGACAAATAAATACTCGTTTGCATGCCTACTTCAGTCAAATGGAGGAGTAGAAATTTTTCTTAATAATAGGTCAAACTTTTTGAGCACTTACTGTGGTGGACCTTGTATTGTGCCAAATACAGAGTCAATCTTCACAATAACACTTTGAGTTTGATTCTATAACTGCCCCTATTTTACATCTTTAATTGTATTTAATATCATTTAAGATATTTAAGAGAGAGCATGGACTGGGGACTAGGAACCTAAGCAGTTCATCACCCCTTATGTTGCTCCGGTGCTGCCAGGAGCAGTGAGCTGAGAAGACTGTGCTGCTTCCCTCGACTGTTTAGCAATTTTAGCCACAATGGTGTGGGCATCACTGTAAATGCTTCGTATCGGCCATCACCCATCCATTGCCTTGATTTCCATTATTTGGAGACAAAGGCAAAGGAGTGAATTGACATGGTCAGTTAGCTCCAAAGCCAATTTGTAACCAGAGCTCTACTATAACCATTTTATTTTGTCTTCCCTTCTATTGAAATCAAAGAACATTAACATGAACATTTTTACTATGCTCTTTTTTTTAAATAAAAAAATCATTTTAAATTCTATAATAAAATAAATTGGTGAGACTCCAACCAACTCCTAGACAATCATAGTACTCCCCTTGCCTCTGGGAGAGGTGATGTAACAATCAGAAAGCATCATTTATTATGAAGTGGAAGGTATGAAATTAATCATTCTCAGGAAACTAGCAGGGCAATATTTTCTTATTTATACAGTAACACCCATTACAGGTACTGTACACACATTTCAATGGGCCATTCACTTCCTGATAGTTTATTATATAGCGGTACATTAGCATAGGATGAAAGATTTGAGGAAGAATAGGGAGGTGTTTTTTATGTCTATTTTAAGCTGTTAGTTTTACTGCATTTCTGGATGTGGAAGATCATCTTATAGTCAAATAAAGCTATAAAGACTAAATCCAATTATCCCTGTGGAGCAGCTGCTCAATCTCTAGGGAGTGGGCAGGTCCCGCAAGGAGGGAATGACAGATTGCACGGGGGACGCTGCTACTGCAGCCGCTGGAGGGGCCGGAGCTGGACGCAGCCCAGCCCGTGCTCCCTGGAGCCTCGCATCACGTTTTGTAAAGCATGGGCGTCACCATACATGCACAGCGTTGTGTTGGCTCCTGAGTCTCCCACTAACTCTGAAATCGCCAGGCCTGGGAGAGCGTCGGTGACACTGGAAAAGGACCAAACACCATTCCTTTAAAGGTCCTCACTTAGCACAGAGGTGGCTCAGGGACTTGGAGCGAAGCTGACTTTGTAGCTGATACTGTGTCTTGGGGAAACTTTAAGCCTGACGAGGGAAATGAAAGATGTTGTAATTATGAGTACACACCATTTCTTCCCACATGGAATTCTAAAGGTGGAAAAAAGACTTGGGTATACGTGTGTGTGTGTGTGTGTGTGTGTGTGTGTGTGTGTGTGTAGTGATCTACAGTCCCACTTAACCAAGGTGATGAAAGTTATTTGGAAGAAAAATATGTTTTTTTTTTCCATTTAAATTATGAAGGTTAAAACTAAAGGTTGTCTACCTATAAAGTAAAACAGTTTTGCAAGTACATTAGTACTGAATGGAGTCTTTGTGCCTCCTAATAATAATAACACCAATTAGGCTCTGAGGAATAAAGTATGCTAGCAGAGTTTTAGGAAACTTGGCAAGTGCTTTGGTAGTTTAAACTCAGCAAAACGTTTATTACATTTTTAGTTAATGATTCTCACAAAAAAGAGGTAAGTTTGCCAATATTTGGAAATTCATGGGGTTTTTCCTTGTCCTTCCTTATTTCTCCTTTTTCTGCACCACAAACTCAGTGACTTATCTAATATATCTGATTAAAACATTTCTAATACCTAATATCTACGAAGACTTCCTTCGGGAATGTTGCCACAGGGACCCAATTGACAGCTGAGCTCAGGCATTGGAGGAGGAGGAGCCCAGGTGCTGGGCAGTGACAGTGAGCAATGTTTGCTCAGCTCCTTTTTTCCAAATTGCCCTGCCAGCTCCGAGCACTGCAGCGGGCCCTGCATCAGGCACCACAGCGGGCCCTGCATCAGGCAGAGCTGCCCTGCCTTCCCAACGTGCTGATGGTCAGGACAGTCACCTAGCGGGTGTGATCCACTGCATTGGCGGTGGAGCTCGGTGAAACTGGTATCTTATAAAATGTCTCCTGGGCGTAACATTGGGGGATGGATGGCATAGTGTGTATGACATGGCTCCAGCCTCCGGGCCTAGGCTCAGGGGAAGAGTCATTAGCAAGCTAGTGCTTAGCTTCATGAGGACACGGAGCCTAAGCACATGTGGTGGGAGAGTTGTCCGGAGCCAGGGGCTGGGCCAGAATCTCCTAGAACCACAGGCAGGGAACTAAACCCCTTCGCATCATCCACACTCTTCAGTCTGACTGAATAACAGTCAGACATTTGGCATAAACTTTTTAAAATGTTGACAACTTTAACCCAAGTGTGATTTCCCCCAAATAACCTTGGCTCACACCCTGGAATCCAATGGGCACATTAACAAATGTACTAACTTATGGAACCCTAAAATAGAAATTTCAGTTAGAGCTTATACTCATCACAGGAAAGCAATGCACTTAAAGGTCATGTAAATCTCAGTTTGACCAGATGGCCCAGTGACCAGATTGCAAAGAGAATCCGGTTTTTCCTGTCAATGACAGGATGGCCTGCGCTTGTCATGGGTTTTAAATGCATGTCAGTTGAGGAACTTCTGCTTCTGGGAAGATGAAATAGTATGATTTTCCTTATTTCTACCACAAGTACAATGAAAAACCTCCACACATTATGTGTAAAAGAGAACTAAGAATATGAAGAAAGCCAGTATATGTACGTGTTCTGAGGCCCAAAGGACAAGAGGGTGCGTTCCCTAGGTTTTCTTTTGGCCTTATGTGTCCCAAACTTGTGGCTGAAGAAGCTAGCAACACAGAGACCAACTGGTACAGGACGAAATTGACATTAGAAGTCTGTTCTCTGTCATCAAAGGGCCAGGAAAAGGGAGCACAGTGCCTCAGAAACCTTCACATGATAACTGCTCTATGCCAGCCAACACCACAGACACAGCAGGGCCCCGCCACCCACGACCCGCCAGGCTACCCCAAGGCGCCCAGAGCTCCCAGCCAGGTGTCAGGGAGACTAAGTAGGGAGCTGGACTTCAATCCTTGCAGACTTAGGAAGCCTCTCCTGTGAGCCCAGTGGAGACCACATGTCTAGGACAGGACTCAGCAGTAAGGAGGGACCCCACCCAGTCCCTGCAGGGATGGCATCAGAGAAGGCTCAGTGGCAGGCCAGGACTTTCACTGCAGCCCAGTGATAACAAGGAAAGACAGTTATCATAGACAAAAAAGATCCACGAGGAAGAGACAACCTTTACTGTTCCCACCGAACCACAGAGCTGTAAAACGTATGACCCCCCAACTGACAGAACTGGAAGGAGAAATCGACAAATCGGCAGGTACAGCTGGAAATAGCATTAGTGAGCACCAACTATGTGCAAGGCACCTGCTAGGCATTGTAAATGCTCTAGTGACAAAGAAAAAGACAGCCCTGTTCTGCAGGAAACTCACCGTCTATTGGAGAGGGGAAATATTTAGTGATTAAAGTTTATTTTACTTGCTGAATGGGAATCTCAAAACACCAAAAGTTTAACTTCTCGTTCAAAATGCCCTATTTTAAGTATCAACAATAACAATTGGATAGAATCTCTGGTTCTGTTGCTTCATTTCCCACAGGTAATAAAGACAATCATGTTGGCCCAGTGTAGACTGCAAAACTTACCCACAGCTGCCACAGAAATCATAGCCGGAAACATGAAATTCCCCAGGCACCTCTAAGTCCTTGGTTTCTCCCAATAAAGTAATTCACACTGACCCAGTCCCTGCATCTCCTCCCCTCTTTGGAGGTGGATGGGGCCTCCAAAAGGATTATAAACATACTGTGAAGAGGTGCCAAGGGTGGGATGTGTAAAGGGTTAGAAACCACCAAGCTGAAAAGATGCCGACTTACCACGGTGTAAATCTGATGCTTCCGCCTTTTAGCCAGGTCAATTATGTTGATTCCATTGTAATAGAGATTTTCCATGCATCCCTGGAAGTTTTTCTTTAAAAAGGTCCCAGGTTTGCCTGGTACTGGAATTCCTCCAAAACTAAGCTTTATGAGGAGAAAAAAAACAAAACAAAATAGAACACCTTAGTTACAGTCTCTGAAGGAACAGGAAAGAAAAGCGGGTGAATTTCTGTAGATTCAGCTGTAGGCCTGAGCCAAGTAGCTCAAGCAATTATAGCTCCACTTGATTACACATTTAAAGGATACTGATTAGCCCCGTAAAAATAACTGTAATTGATTGCTTTTAAATAACTATGAAACTACTCACTTCCTTTCGGAACTGTTTTAATACTAAATAAAACAACAATTTATAGAAAGGAAAAAATAAAAGAAAATCAACATTTTTATATTTATCTCTGATGCAAATCTCTGAGAGAATGTGGCCAAACTAAAGCCAAGGGACCAACAAAATATTCCTCTATTCAGCTACAGAGAGACCTACTATAAAACCCGCATTTACACCAAAACAAAACATGTGCATAGTTGTTCACAGATTATGTTCGGTAAAGATGAAAAAAAGGAAACTTCAAATAGCCCATACCCCCCCCCCCAAAGCTTTTTAAAGAAAACCATTAAGAATCAATAGGATGGAATCTCACATAATTGTCAATAATAGTATTAAATATTTGTGATAAAATAGAAAATGAGAATATTTATTGAAAATGCAAGAGTTATAATTAGATGTAAAATATTAGGTCAACAATAAGAAATGGTGCTTATTTCATATGAATTGGAGGGGACACACCAAAACTGTTATAACAATTTTCTCTGGAAAGAATATGGGATCCTAGTGCTCCTTGCCACTTTCCTTTCCAGTAAAAATTACCACAAATTCCTTTTGAAATGAAAATATTATTTAAAATCAAATATGACCTCTTATGAATATTCTACCTGTTATACAAGATAATCATTAATTTCTGGAATCATGTTTCTCCCAACACCATTTGAGGAGAAGCCCTATTTTTCCCCACTGGTGTGACAAGTTGTCTTCATCATGCGTGTAGACTATATTGATGTCTGGGGGTGTTGAGGGAGAATGTATGCTCCCAATCAGACTGTCTCCTTAGATCAGCGGTTCTCAACCTGTCGGTTGTGACCCCTTTGGGGGTCGAACGACCCTTTCACAGGGGTCACCTAAGACCATCAGAAAACACATATATAATTACATATTGTTTTTGTGATTAATCACTATGCTTTAATTATGTTCAATTTGTAACAATGAAATTGGGGGTCACCACAACATGAGGAACTGTATTAAAGGGTCACGGCATTAGGAAGGTTGAGAACCACTGCCTTAGATGAATAGTTAAGTGATATACGCAAGGCTACTGTTAAATGTCTATTTTTCCCCATAAGTTCAACACTATTTTAAAAAAAATGTTTCTTTATACATGTAACATACAATAAAGTTTATTTATCCTATTGCCCACTTTTACTTAATATTGCTTTACTCTGTTAAGAGAATTATTTGATATACATACTCATTTTATTTTAAAATTTCATTTCAGAATAGTTTTATTTAAAATAGCTTGTTGAAAATTTTTATTGAAAATTTATTATATTCATTAACACATTGGCTTGGAGAAGAATGGATATTTTTTGAAATATTTCATATTCCTGTCCAAAAACCCAGTGCCTTTTCTATTTTCAAAATATTTTGGTAAGGCCCTGTACCTAAGGTTGATATTTTCTTTCCCTAGTTCACATATTCTTTAATAATTAAGTCCTGTGAATTTTATTTTTTAGAAAATTTTAATTATAAATTAATTATTTTAATAAATTAAACATTTTATTATATGTTAATTACCAGTTATTGTTTTCTTTATCCAGATACTTTATATTAAATAATATGATTATCATTGCATTTTTGAGGTAATTATCTCATGACATATTTAAAACACTTTACTCTTGCTAGTGATGTCAGAGGAATGGTGGTGTAAGGGCACATCTATCCTCTCCCCCTAACATTTAAACAAAATAACCACCTATAATTCAACAAAGAAGTCCCTGCTCAACAGGGATGCACACCTGAGCGACCTGCACACTGAAACAACTAAGGTGGGCTCCTTGGGGTAGGCGGGGAGAGGAGAAGAGAGAGAAGCCGGACACGGACACGGCTACAGCACACCAGCATTTCTGCAGGGTAACCGGGAACTGGCAGCAGCAGGTACGGGCACTTTCCTCAGCCAGTGGGATGCACAGAGAGCTAACCCGGCACGTGGCTGGCCATTGGAGTAGCCCCTGGAGTGGTGGCACTGTGTGGTCATGCACACAGTGAGAGAGTGTCTGAACCGTGGGGGCGTGTTGTGAGCAGACACCTTCCCTACAGAGTTGCTCCCCACAGCTGGGCCTGGCTGCAGGTTTTCAGGCAAAGAAAATAAATTGCAGAGCCCTGCCATGGATTAGACTTCCAGGAGTGTATTATCTGTAGGCCAAGAGCTGTTGCAGTAGAAACACAGTTTCTCTCTGTGACTGAACCCCAGGAGGGGTGCTTGGGTTGGACCCTTGGAGGTCAAGGGTTGCCATTACTGTGAGGGAAAAAACAAACCTCACACCCAAGAAGCAGAGGCTGTACAGCCCTTAGAAGTCACAGAGGCTCAACACTGTGAGGCCACAGAGGATAAAAATCTTGCAATTTAACGCCATCATGTGGAACAGAGTCGAAAGACCTTCTCAGAGATAAATGGGAAAAAAAAGAACAGCGAACACCATGAACAACCACCACAACAAGGGTGACCAGAAAGAAAATGAAAAATCCCCCCCAAACAGGCTGGAACACATGGAATTATGTGAGTTGAATGGCAGAGATTTCAAGATTGTGGTTCTGAAAATATTTAATGAGATGTGAGAAAATACTGACAGGCAATTAAACACACTCAGAAAACAAAAGTAAATTTTAAAAAAGAATATAGCAGAAATCCTGGAAATAAACCAGGCAATTAAAGAAATTAAGAGTGAGCTGATGAGCATAGAAAACAGAACCAATCATTTAGAGGAAAGAACTAGTGATATTGAAGATAGGAACCAAGAAATGATGCAGAGGGAAGAAGAGAGAAACCTGAGAATAAAGAAATACAAAATAGCCCTATGAGACCTCTCTGATTCCATTAAATAATAAATAAATAAATAAATAAATAAATAAATAAATAAATAACATCAGAATCATAGGCATAGCAGAGGAGGAAGAGAGACCATATGGAATGGATAGTCTATTAAAACAAATGGTGGGTGAGAACTTCCCAAATCTATGGAAAGAACTAGATCCTCAAATCCAAGAAGCAAACAGAACACCCAGTTACATCAATCCAAAGGCACTTGGTAATTAAGCTGTCAAAAATTAGTGACAAAGAATAAATCCTCAAATCATCCAGGGAAAAGAAGCAAGTGACCTACAAAGAAAAACCCATCAGGATTTCGCTGGACTTCTCAGCAGAAACTCTATAAGCCAGAAGAGAGTGGAACCAAGTATTCAAATGTCTGAAAGAGAGACATTACCAGCCACACATATTATATCTAGCAAAATTATCCTTTAAATATGAAGGAGAAATAAGAACATTTCCATACATACAGAAGCTGAGGAATTTTATCACTAGAAAACCTCCATTGCAGGAACTACTCAAGGGAGTTATTCTACCTGAAACAAAGAACATAAGGTCATAACGCTATAAGTAGGATTGCCAAAAACTCGCAGCATAAATAGGAATAATTTGTGACAATAAAAATATACAAGGAGAAGAGGGATAGGTATGAACAAGCAAAGGAAGATGAAGATCAGATGCAATCAAAAGGGAAAAAAAAACACACTATGGTATATATTCAACTTCACTTTTTATAAAACTAATGCCAACCACACACAGAAATTCCCCAAACAAGACATATAGCTTAAAAAAAGAAGAAACACAGGAAAAATGTATGGAATATCACCAAATAAAACAACAGGTAGATGTATAAAGGAAAATAACCAATGGAGGCACAGAATTACCAGAAAACAAAAGATAAAATGGCTATAAGAAATCCTCAGACATCAATAAGTACCCTAAATGTAAATGGTCTAAATTCAGCAGTAAAGAGTCACAGAGTAGCAGAGTGGATGAAAAAAACAAAACCCAACCATATTCTGCCTACAAGAGACACATCTAAACTGCAGAGACAAAGGTAGATTCAAAGTAAAAAGGTGGAAAATTATTCTCCAAGCAAATAACATTCACAAAAAAGCAGGTGTAGCCATATTTATAGTTGACAAAATAGATCTCAAGATAACAAATATAGCAAGAGACAAAGATTGACATGTTATAATGATAAAGGAACACTACATCAAGAAAACATAACACTTCCTAATATATATGCCCCCAACCAGGGAGCACCAAAATATATTAAACAGCTAGTCAAAGAACTAAAGGGAGGAACAGATCAAAACACAATTATAGTTGGAGACTATAATACTCAATTGACAGCTCTAGACAGATTAACCAAACAAAAAATCAATAAAGAAATATCAGCCTTAAATGAAACACTAGACCAAATGGACATAATCAACATTTATAGAACATTCCATCCCAGAACATCAGACTATACATTTTTTCTCCAGTGCACATGGAACATTCTCAAGGATAGACCATATGTTGGGTCACAGAACAAGCATCAACAAATTAAAAAAGATTGAGATTATTCTAAGTATATTTTCTGACCATGATGCCATGAAATTAGAAACCAACTGCAAAAAGGAGGAAAAACAAAACAAAACAACATCAACAAAAAAACCCCTATAAATACAAGGAGATTAAACAGTATACTATGAAAAAATGACTGGGTCAAAAGAGAAATAACAGATGAGATCAAAAGATATATAGAGACATATGACAATGATAACACAATATATCAAAACCTCTGGGATGCAGCAAAAGCTGCAATAAGAGGGAAGTTTATATTACTACAGGCCTATCTCAATAAACAAGAGAAATTCCAAGTAAACAACCTAACATCATACCTTAAAAGGCTAGAGAAAGAAGAACAAAAGCAACCCAACGTTAGCAGAAGAAAGAAAA